GACGTTCCACGTTGCTAAGACGCCCACCACTGTACATGTATTTCTATGGGCTCTGTGCGCACTGCCGTGGAACGGGGAACGCCGAGCGAAGAGCCGGTTAAAGTTCGAGAAAACAACACAAACTCAACTTTGAAGTAATCCTTAACAACCAAATTTATATATGTTACACACGTAGGGCTAAGCTGTTCAGGGGAGTCTCAACAACCATCCCAAAGTACCGTTTTCTGCGACTTTTTGGCCTTGTTTTCACTGTGATGGTTGCCATGCGTTGAAAATGCCCGGATGTCCGCCCCGAGAATAACAAGTCTTTTATTAACAATCGGAGGTCCGTACCTCCACGACACGTATAATATGACTATTTATATGTCTATTTATATGTGTCGTGGGTTGTTGATAAAAGACTTGTTATAGGTAACAAGTGACTGTGCCCTGCCAAACTTTGCCAAACAAAGTCTGAACATGTCCCCCAAATTATTCCATGGTTTACATGTAATTACATGTATATTGCAATTGGCCTATTGTCATTTTACATTTACACACCCGTTGACATGCCTCACAATGGAACACAGTTTTAGGTGACGTGAGGCGAAGCATAGACCATGGAGCTAGAAAGAGACCTAAGGTCTATGGGCGAAGTCGATTTCGAGACTGAGTCATTGTTTATTTACCTGAGTTGTCATCACTACCATTGTTACACTGTACCTCAAGGCTACAGCACTTTCTGACACATTGTAATCAATAACCCTTCCCCGTTGTTCAGACTGTCCAGTGTGACGTATTAAAAGCAACGCATAAAAGCAAACATGTAACAAGAGAACTGGTGATGGTTGTAGAACCATAACTGCCTCAGCTCAAAGATTGTTATGTAATACAGGGGAATGTGAAGGGAAATGTATTGTAATGTTACCTCTGTGTAATTTACAATATATCTGCATAAACCTTCACTGTGAAGGAAAATATGAGAGTTGACTTAAATGACTGGTAAAAGCAAATTCTGCGAAATAGTAGTTAGAATTTCCAGATACGCAATCGACACATTGTGAGATATCAAAATATGGATGATAAACAGCAAGTGATATTCCAGAGATGTAGTTGGAATTGAAGCAAAGGTGTGACCTATTAATCCATGAAACATACTCACACATATCCCTACATATCATCCTGTCTTATTGTGTGTGGGCAAAGCTGTCATGCACACAATCGGAAAAATATGTTATTACTGTAAATAATTATGAACAATAAAACTGAAAATAAAAACTATGAACAATTAATAAGGAAAATATGTGATTTGCTATGCAGTTTCCAGAAAATTATTACAAGTCCCAGAAGTGCATAGGAGTCGTCAAAACGTACAGTTTGGTGACAGAACCCAAATGAGAAGTCTGGAGTCACGGCGAATACTCTCTAGCGAGTCACCCCTCTAAAACGTCATTACTGTGCCAATGACATTGAACTTTGCTCTTCCATAAAGCAGCAGTTTCCATCTTCAAATAATCAAAATGAACTTGATACTCTGACGAAGCATGTCTATTGTTTCACAACGACTGTCCCAGGGGATTTTCGTCTTCCCAATTTCTCAAGATAAACGTCCCAGGGTTGTTTTGTGTACTAGAAGGACATGTTTATTGGCAACATTTCTTGTATTAATTTCCATTGCACAAAAAAAAAGAAGAAGCAATACTGTTACTGAAGCACGGAATTTGCATGAATTCTTCTCCCCGGCCATTCACGCAAACTGCAAACGAAGTCTATTACCTCATCCATAGTTGTTGACACTTTGCAACCGCCTTGTTGGATGTATTGTGACGTATTTTGACCCCGGATTCTGACCTTGCGTTCCGGCTACATGTACTGCCCCCTTTTATACCAGTTCAATTTCCTTTCATTATGACATCCAAATGTCATGATATTTAATATTTAAAACCCACCTTTATTTCACAGTCACTTTAGTTTTCACTTTTCTAAAATTATTTTACTGATCAAAAGACTTTCCACTCCCATCATGCAATCCCCCATAGTACTTCCGGAAACACAGGCGATCGCCAGCATATCTACAAATAACCTCGCTCTCAGGAGCTGAGGAATAAAGATTCCTTGGCATAATGATCGATGTCCCCTTTTAGAGGTGAAACATCATCACGTGTTGGTGGTGATTCGGGCAAACAAATATTTGCCAGTTACAGTTACGGTTTTTGAGAAACGTGTCCTAATATTTCTTGAAAATTGCTATTTTTAGAACAATTCCATAGAACACAATGTTAAAGAAAAAAATGCCCTTTTTGACACTTTTTAAAACCCAGATTTTTTAAATAATTCAGAACAACAAAATGTACTCCATCATTAACAATATATGATTTTTTTCAGCCTATGTCACCAGGTTAGATTTTGAGATATTGCATAATATCTCTGCCATAGGAGCCTGTGGTAAAAGTGTTATAATAGTGTCAAAATAGCGACTTTCCAGGAAAATACAACCATCAATTTCTTGAAAAAAGGGCTGGTGACCCCCAACTTTTATTCAAGACAAAATTGTTCTGCTTACAATTATCCACCATAAGTACATCGCCATTTTGATTTGATTGACACTTGTAGTATTTTAAACTGTAGACTACCTTCAAAATTATATAATCAACAAGCCGACATTTTAACACATTGAACTTTCACAAAGAATAAAAGGTACAGTAACATTGAGTGCGTTCACATGTCGGCGGCTGGCACGAACGTTACAATGTATTAGAAATAAATAGTTCATAGTTCCATGGAGAGAAACATCACGCAAAATAACGTTATAAATTATCAAAAACTGAAACTTATTTGTAAAATAATTTCATTCTTGCCAAAAGAATCTCGATCAAACCACTGTGACCGTATAACCCGCAAAGTCAGCATGCTTGGCAGATTGCCATTACGAGCGTTGCCCACTAATCCAGTTAATTGGCATAATAAGCCTTTCCAGAAGTGGTAAAGGGCTGTGGTTCATTCTATTTTTACGAGGTCATTGCTCTGTTATAATGAAGCTCATCAAGGGTCGTACGAGCAGTATGTGTTTGCTACCACTGCGGAGGTATTATAGAGTTTACCATCACTCATTCACAGTCAGGAATGTTTCGATAGTCTTGATATACCCCAGTGGTCTGAGATAGCCCCATGCGCCATTCATTTAACTACAATCCTTGTGGGATAGAAGGACTGTAATTTAACTGCATAGGACGACTAAACGTGTTCAGTTGCTGTTTACACTATTTTGGAAGCACAATAACATGAATACAATTGTTGACGGTGTTCAAAATAAGCATGTCCACGGTTACAACTAACCATGGCCTATCAATTTCCCATAATCGCTTTCTGTTATCTTTCGCGCAGTGTATACATGGTGATTTATTCATTTATTAACACACAACATCCCCGAAGGGGATAAAAAGGGTTACAATCAGATATTAGTAAAATAAAAATAACTACATAAAAAGTAAGGAAACAAAAAGCATAAAGAAAAAAAATGATAAAAATTTGTATACAAGAAATGTGTCACTGGTTTAGTTTATGAAGGTGCTGCTGGCCCTATATTAAAACAGTTTTTTTTTAAATATTGTGCTAAAGTAATTGATAGATTGAAGATTCCCACAGGTTTAACACAATAAAGACTGAAAATATAATTGAAAAATATTCCATATATCAATATATACTCGGTTTATTAATAATTAATTATCATCTTATATTGATGACATGACTATAAATAAACATATAAGAATATCCACCAATATAGTAGTATGTAAATTTCAATATTTTAAAACAATAGCGATTATAATATATCCGACTGTACGGGACATCGTACAACTTAGACAGTGTTTTAGAAAGCTGTCACACGCTAGTAGTAATAATTAATTAATTAACACTGTATTTAGTTTCAAACGAGATGTTATATATACACAGCTTTCCGTGTAATGAAGATGGCGACCAAGAGAAGATAGTTTTACAGCAAGATATTCCGTTCACAAGCATGTTTGATTTAATAATGCATTTCTATGTGGTCGATTTCGGGCTGCGTTCGCAAATACGCTTTGTAATTCCATCAGTACTTAGCAAGTCCACAACAGGTGCGCATTATGTGAAGAGATAATATAAATCCATTCAATACTTACTAGTTTTTTCGTCGGCCATATTTTAATAATCCGTGTACACACGAAAGGGCAGATTCGGTAAATTGTATCAACAAGAAGATAGTTATAACCACTTGCTCGGTCAAGCAACACTATGACGTGATACAGAACGGAACAGCGTAAATGGCGCAGTGAAAGCCACTCCCCGAGAATCACTGTTGCTAAGGAAAACACAATGTAAACATACAACAGCATTCACTGGAGCTGAATACTGGCAGTACGTGACTGACTCGTTTAGTTCATGGCGCTAACAAATAAATTATTGAAATGCAAATATTCACATTGTGGTTACGCTTCAATAACACAGCCTGTTTTAGTGTTGTTTTCAGTCACATGTTTGTTCAATTTGATGTATGGCCTGATAAAGTTTGCGTCTAGGGGTTGGTCAACTTTCACCCACAGAATAATCTCAGACTAAATATGACCAGTCTTAGAAATGTGATATGATATGATATGACTGATCTCACTAGACCATTCCTAGACTAAATGTTGCCAAGATATAGCCCTATATCAATCAAATGACGCCAATTACACATCAAACATGCCTAATATATATCAAATGGGGGGTCTTGTTTTAGACCAAGTGTATGTTCAATGCAAAACAACTATGTGGTCAGTCATACACAATATGTGTCATTGTTTTCCTTCATTGCATGGCAGTCTTTGACGTGTTACGTTATATGTGTACTGTAATAAATACAGTACAGTTTTCTTTAAATACCAATAGCTAAACACCACTAAACAGTTCTGTAGATTAGTTAGTGATTTACCATCGTCTTCGAGTTTCATCAAAGAGCACGCGGGTTTTTCTGTTCGGCGATCGAAGACGGACAATATAATAAAACAAGTAACCTGTAGAATGCTGTGTGGGTAATATTTTTATATTGATTTTTGTTGCATTTGCAGCAAATAGTTACCAAACAATGAGAAATCTATATGATTGGATATACATGCATAGTTCAAGACTGCCTAACCGGTGCTTATACCAGGATTTAGTTGCAGCACTGTGGTCTGTGGTCACGTTACAGCTTCATTTTCCGAGTAATCACAAGAAATTGACATGACAATAGAAATTCGTGAAAGACTGGCACTCCCATACAATTAATAGCAAGTGAAATTCCTGGAATTGAAACATAGATTTTGAAGTCACTGGTGTAGGCACTGAATAACTTCAATCTGATTCAAATCTGATGTAGTGTACGGGCTTTAATTATTTTGGCCATAAACTTATTTTTTATTATATTTGTTATTAATGCCTTTTTATTTTATTATTTTACTTTGATTTTGTGATTTTTTTTAATTCCGCCCTACCTACATCTGATCCGACGCCTATGTAA